ACACATGTATCTGTCACTTCTCTTTGCAAGGCTCAGCTCTCTGACAAGAGAGAGCTCATTTCTCATGCATTATCCCTCTAAACATATGTCCAATATCTTACTAGATTCTCACATTTTGCATAAACAGCGGTATTTGTGTCACAAAATTGAGATATATTTATTTCTTATTAGCAAATATTGCTGAGATATTTGGGTGGGAGGAAATGAAAAGCAGACATTTATTATATTGAAAAAAAAAAAAAAGAAAAAAAGAAAATCAGCCACCCTAGAAGCCTTCCAGTAAMCTAGCCATTTTCTGTCATAGAGCAGCGAGCAAGAGGAGCCTCGGCAGATACCACCTCACTCATCATTAGCAGTTCACTGCCCAGCTATGGCCAGGAAAAAGCCAYTAAGCTACAGCTCCAGGAACAGAGTCTCAACAGTGATTTTAAAAATCTTGCTACTGCTCTTTTGCTGAATAGAAAACACTGTAAAGCCTGCAAGTTTTTGGCATATAATGGGAACAAATGTYATATGATTAATGGAGATGCTAGGGAGGTACAACTCCTCTCAAAGTGCACCTTCAGTCTGTCCCTACTTCTGCCACTCCTTGCTAGGGGAGCACAGCAAGGCACTCAAGCCCCCAAAGACAAGTCTGGCCTGGAACAACCATTCATCTCCATTGCCCTTGGACTTAGAGCCGAGAATAGGCTTTTTTAGTAGACCTGCACCCTGTAGACTTCTTTTAACAAAGCTCTAAGACAAATATTTTTGCAGCATTCCCATGGGTTTAAAAGGACCTGTGTGAAGCCTTTAGATGCAAAAATGCAAGGGGGAGGCTTTATTATTCTATTGAGTCTTCAAATTCAATGCCACCATAGAAAGTTGGACTGTATTTTACATGCAATTTGTACACACTTTTTTAACATTACAGCAAGTGCCCCTTTCTGCTCTGATGCTCCACACCAGGGATCACAAGGGACTCACTGCCCCATAATCACCTTCACTTATAACCCAGATTACCTGTCTGGCAGCAGTGGTACATGCAGAGACATCACATCATTTTTTCATGCTCCTGTTGTTGCCATTTTGCTTGAATAAATCAACTGTATGAAAATCACATTTTCAGAAAGCTAAAGACTGGCCCCACCTTCAGTGCAAGAACACTTGGAGGGATCCTGTTGCCTCATACTTCCAGCATCGAGGCACGAGGCTTGGGAAATAAATCATCTGTCCTTTCTTCCATAGCACCAGTTCTGGAACACGTCTCTTCCCTGACAGGAGGGAGAAAACAGTCGCTCAGCAAGATGAGAGACTGCTTTGGACCAGACAGAGGCTGTTACTTGAAGAGGAAAATTTACTTTAACCCAGATATAACAACAAAGATCAGAATGATCATTTGCCTCAGCGCTGCCTGCCTTTCATCTCCTACGAGCAAATGAGTTTGACTCCACTAAATGCTTTAGCCATTTACATACACAGTGAGAAGTCTCTGACTGTAGAGCTGCCCTCCAAGCACACTTGAAAGAAATTAGTGACAGCTTGCATGAACACAGCTGGCAGAGCTCGCCCTAAAACACACCACACAAAAACTAAGATCACCTTCACCCCCCCGCTATCTCCACTCCGAGCTGAGCAATTGCTGGCAGATGCTTTGCCCRTGGCCATAAAGAAAACATAAAAGCGTTTATAGTGCCAGAAATAGGCTTTATAACCTATAGTCCAGAAAAGATATTTTAAATAGCAGAACCCCTCTGAATGCATGTTCCACTTTCATTAACACCTGGGTCTACACATGCCCAGCTGTATCATCAAACAAATAAACCATCTAGCCTAGGCATGGGTAATATTAAAAAACAAATTACTGACATGTGAACAGCTTGGTAGAAAACAGCTGCAGGGAAGGAAGGCATCGGGCTGAGSAGTCTAAAACCAGAGGGAGGCTGCGGAGGTGGCTGCTAGACACATCTCCTGCTTGCAGTGTTGATTTGTGAGAGCTCCCAGTGCCCTTAAAGCTGAGCTCTTACTTACACCAGGCCAGGCTGCCGCCGCTCACAGAGCGGAGCAGAGAGAGCAGCATGGAGGATGCGAAAGGGAAGGGATGCGCAGCCTGCTCCAAGGCTGCTCCCAGGCTGCACTCCCACCTATCAGGCAATCCCTCAGCACGGGGCTCAGGGGGACATGTCCACAGGGAAGGTAAAACAAGAGAATTAACTGCTGCCTGCAACCACAYGACGGGCATTTACCAAAACAGCAGAGCCAAACCCTTCCCAGCAGGACAACGCAGGCTGTGGCAGTTCAGGGGGGACGTTCTGAGGAAGCATCACTAGGGTGGGAATATGGCACTGGAGTGAGGCTGCCCCGGGAGACTCCTGTCCTGGGGGGTTCACAACGTGGTGATAAGGTCACGGTGGGGCTGGTACTGCTGTGGTGCCTGCGGCTGCCCGCCTAGAGACACGGGATGCTGCGCTGGCCGGCTGCAGAGCTGCCCTCCGGCCCAGCATCCGCGGCTCCAAACGACAGCGTCGTTTCCTTAGAGAAGAACAAGGATAAGCAAATACAGGGCCATGGCCCGAATTTGTGAAATGAAGATATTTAGCCCCAAAATAATTTCTATAAATATGACCATAAGGATATTGTCCCACCTGCCAACACAATAATGGTGCTTTCTTAAGCCACATACAATTCACTGGTCCACTGATATATGAGATCGGTTAAAACTGTAACAGAAGGCAGTATGTCTCAAGAGCACTTGCTGACATGCTCTTAAACCAATTCAGCTTTTGAACCTCAGCCACTCTGGGGTCTTTGAATTAACAATAGCACAATAGTACTTTTAAACAGTCTCTTCCCTAGGCACTCACCTTCCTCCTTTAAACTGGCCAATATTTTTGACTTGTCCCTTTAAACAGCATCACTCAGGAGGCTGAAAATGCTTGCAGGATTCAATGCAAGTGACATGCCACAACTTTGAAGCAATGATAGAAAATAACTGACACTTGTTAGAAATTTTATCTTCCCAAAGTCAAAGGACCAAGGACTTCACAGATTAAGYAAAGCCTTAAATGCTAGAAAAGATCAAAGAGGTACAATCCACACTGTCCCCAGCAATAGGAATTGCACAGCATATTGATGTGTAGCTTTATGTTACTCAAGTGCGTCTCAGATTTATTCCAGCTGAGGATCAAGCCCATTACATCTGGCATTTCTCTACAACGTTTACCGTCTCAAACAATGACTTAGTCCTCGGCCAAACAATCTTACAAGGCTTATTTCACACATTACATGGCATAATGTCCATTCAGCTTAGGGCAGCATCCCCACGTTGCTCCCAGTGGCCAGGATGTGATTCTTGCCTAGCCTGGAAGCAGCAAGTTGGGAGCACACGCTGCCTGTAGCCAGATGTATGCTGGGCTGGCSTCACACAAGCCTTGCCACCCTGGTGGCTTTCTAGAGCTGTGACTGAAAAGCCACAAATCTTCAGATCTGCTTTGAATTTTCAAAGCCATCCTTCTCCCTTTGCAAGACAGGGCTGGCATTGTCTGTTTGCATTCCTTTGCTTTTCCTTGTTCAGAGCCAGCAGCAGTGTCTGCAGACAGAGCTAAGGTCCTGTTTCAGAGCTATTGCCATATCCAGGAGAGCCCTGCGCAGCCCRGCTCTATCGCTAGCCTCTATGCAAAGCACCACCATTACTGAGCCTTGACTGGGAGCATCTTTGGAGGCCAGAGGCCAGATCTTCAGATGACTGAGGACGCAAGTGTCCTTCTGGAGGTGAAACTCATCACACCATGGGTAACTACAGATGTCAGAAGAAGCTGTCATTACTCCAACAGAAAGTATTTGATCACAGAACATATTATAGGACCCAAATTACATACTTAGCCTCTAGTTCATAGGAGAGCCCTAAACTCAAAAGCATCTTGAGACACTTGCTTCTCATCCTGAAGGTGCAACATTTTGCAGGACCTTTATTTGCTGCACATTCTTTTTTCTGTTAGGAAGCCCTGGGTTCAGCCCAGGGCTGACTGAACACCACTGATAACAAACTCACATAATATACCATATATCCCCACTTTGGCCTCTGCAGGGATGGCTAACACCTGTCTGCTTTAGTTCTGCTTGAAAGTGATACGTTACTTGCAGCTGTGCAAAAATAAAGAAGTGCTGCCAGCCCCTCCTCGTCACTAGCCCTCTTGTAACCTTCAACCACCTTTTACAGTCTTCCAATATCTGCAACAAACTTTTAATAATTTTTTCCCTATGAAAACAAAAAGTAACTCCACTTTCTATGTAAAACAAGCAAACAAAAAGACCAACTATGAGTGTGCAGAAACAGAGCCATCCACACTGGCATGAAAACAGCTCACCCATGTTTTAGTTCTGCTTTAGTAAAGAACAAATCCGGATACAAAGCGTAAAGCAGAGCCCTTCATCTGATTCTTATTTTAAGCTTAGTATTTATGCTCACTGCTAGAGATGACATTACTACATGACAGCCTACTCAAAAGCACTTCAGATGAACTCTGTTATGCAGAGCACGTTTTCAGCTGCTGAGTACAAAGAACTTGCTATGAATAGTCCTAGTTGTTGAAGATATGAGCCAGTGCTCTGACCTCATATGGAATTTCCTGATATTTGATGTTCCCATCCTTCAGCCAAACTAAACGCATTAAAAATGCATTTTTTCCCTCAAGACATCGTTGCTCCAAACGGGCAGCGTGTGATGACCTCAGAGGCCACCCGCAGCTTGAAACATGGATCACATGAACGATACCCTGTCAGCAGCAAATTCCACAACCACCAAACGCCACCACAGACATTTTCAGAGAATCGCTCTGTAACTTGTGTCTTTGAGAATCAGGCTTCAACAGAGTACCGTCCATCTAGGAAACCTCCACAGCTGACCTGTTCAGCTAGCCATAGCTAAAAAACATTGCAGCTTTAGCAGTTTTGAGACAGCTTACAGCAACTGAGAAAGCCTTGTCTGACCAAAGTTTTATTAAACAATATTATTCAGAGAGCTTCCCTTGGCACAATCAAAAATCATACTTCTTAACTATAAGATGCAAGCCTTTTGCAGGGACTTTATATATCAGCACCTTCTATATTCTCCATATACATTTAAGTCATTTTGCTTTCATCATGACGCGGTAGGAAAGAACGGCCAGGAAGTTTTTAAGACATAAAGAGCAACAGAAGCAATGGGTTTCTTGAACGCTGTCCCTTTCTGCACTGGAAATTGTGTCCATGTCTCCAACTCAAAAATGGTGTAGCAGGTCTAGAAGACAGAAGCAAATTTAGTAATTCTTACCTCCCTACAAGTTTAATCATGTTTTAAAATAATAGCAAAAGGAGTCAAAACCCAAACCTTCTCTCTGCCTGCTTGGAATCATTAACAGTCTGTATCCCCAGTGTCTCAAAAACATTTTGAGGGAAGTCTCATGCCCTACCAGTTTAAGGCTAACTAATTACACTGCTGTTTTAATTGTATCTTGTCATCTTTGGTCATTGTTAGGAGAGCAGATACACAAGACAGTGTATTTTTATTGCTCCAAGATGTCAACAAGGAATATGGCAAAATTGTTCCTAGACTGAGAAGGCCAGAGTCCTTATTCTTGAAAARGAGCCACTTAAGTCTAGATGCAAAAAGAATCTTAAAAGGTGTAACAAAATAGTAGATGCAATTCTGCAGATGCTCCAAATATCTGCCCATCTGCTTTATATCATGGGTCTGTTCCTTCTGCACACCCTCAGGACAAAATCAGGTAAACAGAAAATCAGATTAAACAAGGAATAAAGAATTGAGCTTACAAATTAAAAAAAAAAAAACTTTCAAATGAAAGTCTTAACCAAACTTTATTCAAGACAGACTGAAAATAAATAATAAGATTTCATTTACTTACCCTTAAAGCAGAACTCAGAAATGTTCTACTTAGTATAACTACCTTAAGGTAATAAGCTTCAGCTTACTTCAAATAAATATAAATGAGAAGGCATTTACCATTTTTATATAGGCATAAACATGATTTGCATACATGTATTTCTACTGCCACCTTGTGAACAGTTTCAGAATAAAGAGCTTTAGTTCATATGGACCCATTTCTGCCATCTTCACTCACACTTAGTTCCACCGACTTTAATGCACATTACTGCAAGGTTAGCTGATATGAGAAAGGATGGCCTAATCAGATGCTTGATGAAATTTTAAAGTCCGTATAAAATTACTAACAGTCTTCCACAATTGCACACATTTTTATGTCATATTTTATTACCACAATCACTATGGAAAATATCACTAAATTCTTTCTGATAAAAATATAGCAGCTTTGCATCCAAGCTGTATAGCTGTCTTCAAAACTGAATAAGCTGGTGCCTGTAGAAGAAACAACACAAGATTAAATACATCTAATTCACCAGTAACATGTTTTGTTTGAAGCAAATCAGCAGTAAGCCACAGYTATCATGATCTTGATAACATATCTRTATTTGTAATTTCAATCACCCTAGGCAAAACTTAATAAAAGTCAACTTAGCACAAATCTCCACAAAATATAAGTCCACAAATTTAATTCAAGGGGAAAAAAAAAAAAAAAAAAAAAAAGCTGGGAATTCACAAACTCCTATGAGCACAGAATTTGACTGTGAATTTTAGCTTTCCTAATACAGTTGTGTCTGACTATCCAGATGATGCCTTCACTTTCCCAGTGTATGGAAAGCTTTATGAAATATCTTTGAAATATGACTAAATAAAAACTTTTTTTAAAAAAGCAAATCTGAGCAGACGGCATTTCTCAGGAGAACAAAAAGTGCTTTAACATTTGCCATGAATTCAAAGATTCAATTCTTTTCTAGAAAAATAAAACCTGTAAGATGCAGGCCACTTCAGTGTTATCTTACACCTACTGTTAGGAAAGAATCCAAACATTATTTTCTATTTTGCAAATAAAGTATTACAAATAAGGAATGTTATCACGCCTCGATACTTGCTAACAGCACCAGCGAGTTAATACTCTACTTACTGACTCTGCGTTGTGTTCTAGCCCAATGTCATGGTGCTCCAGTTCATCATCCCGAAACTGCTTTATTACCTTTAAAAAGAGCAGGTAATTAGTAAGTTTACAGTACAGAGAAATCAAGGCAGTTAGAAGAGTGAAGGGAAAGAAAAAAAAAAAAAAAGACCTTCAGCAGGTTATTAGTAGGTTATTAGCCTTTACTTTCGTAAGCAATATTTCCCTCATATGTCAGCACAGGCTGGGTTACTCCAGATATTGTTTCTGTAATGGGACAATTGGGCAGCAACCAGACTTGGCCACGACTTAAACTAGGCACAGCTGAAAGCAACAGCAGCAGAGAAAGCYGAGAATGAACAGGCAGATCCCAGAGCAGGTGCAGCACTGAGGTGCTCGGTGTGGGCTGCATGTGGAAACACCGCTTCTCTCACATGTATCTACAAAAACGCAGCCCCATTTTATGCTTAAGTACTTGTGAATGATTTTTCTTGCAAATATAATAGGCATTGACTCCCTTCATCCTCTGTATTCAAAACTTGAATAATTCAATCATATCCAGTATAATCAGTATTATGTAATTTATCACACTTCTTTTTCTCTTGCTCTTCCTTTCAGTTAAGGATAATTTTTTAAAATGGACAACTCTTCAAACAAAAATATAAATATTGATGAGTGTGCTAGTTAAATACTAGTCTAACRTATTTTAATTCTGATGTTTCAGCAATTTAGAATTGCTGAAGAAAAAACCATCCTTTCAAGTTAAGGTTTCTGTTGCCTTCAGAAATCTATTTTATAGGATAAAAAGGCCTGTTATAAGTTCTACTGACATATTGTTCTAAAACATTTCTCCCTGCATCACTCAATTACACGCCTTTTAAGTCCAATACCTGCAATAATTCTATGTATTTTTCTGGATCTTCCTCCATAAGAGCTCTGATCTGGTTGTTATAGTGGTCGGATATGCTCTCCTCCACRGCCACCGTGCAAGCCATTGCACCTTTCTTTCCCAGCAAGGCACTTCCAGCTCCTACGAGGGTGGTACAAACACGTCCAACCAATGAAACCCTGAGCAATACAAACAACATATACATTCAAAGAGTTCATGAAACAACAATAATAATTATATCAATGCAAGCTCACCTAAAACAAAGCCTGCTACATTCCAGATAGGCAGTAACACAGTCGGTCGAACTCTGTATGCAACCATCAGCTCATTAAATTTCTTCAGATGCTCTTTTTCTTGATTCCACATTTGCTGGAACAGAAGTGAACCACAGTGAAGCACGCAGCAATGAGAAGCGTGATCTTTCAGCAGAGTTACTCATAGAAAGAGAAACAAAACACGCTGCCCAGGCCACGCTAACTCTAGCAACAACTTTCCGCCACACACAGAGGAAACGGGAGGCAGGGCAGGCGGTTACACGAGGTAACACCTGCACACAGCGGCCCCGCTGCAGCACTGCCCGGCCTCACCTGGATGAGCGGCCCCACCGCCGACCGGCCCAGCACCGCCATCTGCCCCGCGTAGATGCGGTTCGCGCCGTACTCGCCCGCGTGGTCCACGCGGATGATGCGCCCCACGAGCGCCGCGTTGATGGCGCCCGCGCTCACCCCGCCGCTGGGCTGCCCGGACGAGGCGGCCCTCGCGGGCCAGCGCCACCCGCCGCCGGGACCTGCCGGAGAGACGCGCGTGAGGGCGGCGCCGAGGCGGCCGCGCGAGGCCCCGGGGCCGCCCGAGCTCGTACCGGCCCCGCCGCAGAGCGGGCGCAGCGCCCGCCGCGCCGCCGCCATCGCGCTGACCTCCCCGGCTCCTCGGGCGCCTCGCAGCGTCATCACCGACCGACGGCCGGGAGCCCGCGCGCCGCCCCCGTCCCGCCCCACCGCGCCTCCCATTGGCTGCCTGGCCCTCCCCCGCCGCTCCTGGCTGGGCAGCGGGCTGTCAATCAAAACTGGCGTTCTTCGGTTCCCATGGCAACCGATGCGAAGCGCTGCGCTGAGGGAGGACCGCGCAACAAGCGGCTGTTTTCAAAAGAAACGGAAACGTGAATATATAAAATGGGGCCATTTATTATGGGGCCAACATTCTTGAAAAAGGAGACAGAAAAAGTTACAAAACATCCCATAAAAGCATACATCGTTGCACACACTAACTGYATTACAGCTTTCAAGTAATGCACAGAAGGATTTTCTGTGGAGAAGTGAGGTTAAGAGAACCACAATCTTCATAGAAAGGAAAACAAACGAGCAGGCTGCTTGGGAATGTTGTTGCCTGAGCCCRTCCATTCATTTAAGAGCTAAGAATCATTTAAAAGGTACTGGCCTGTAAACGTTTCTGAGCATTGTATTTCTGAACATTTTATTTCTGCATTATAAATCACTCAAACTCTGCATCATCCACATCTCAGGTCTTAAGCAGAGGGGCTGGTGTCAGGGTGATGTCTGCCTGTGCGGCAGGGCTGTCCACCCCTCCCTGCCCACACCACTGCTGCTGCTTCCAGGAGTTATTCACAATTTTTATCTGCTTAAGGCTTTTTTTTTTTTCCTCTAAAACTGTTTTGTCAGTTATCTACTGTTCAACTGCAGTTGTTAGTTCAGAGCAAAAGCTCCAAATATCTTCTCTAAAAGATAAACATTTTTAAAACAATTTAAAACCCTTGCAATATTTTCCCTCCAATGCACAATTTCAAGATACTGACTTGTTTAGTTTTAAAAGAAAAGCAAGTTGCAAATATGTAAAACAGTCCTCTGATTTCCCCTCCCCTTTCTTAAGTATAATTTATAAAAGCATTTCAAGGAGCTTCTAAATGGAATCTCAGTTCTGGGAACATTTTATCCAAAATGCATAGAAATATTGGATTTTAATATAACACCAAGAACCCTGAAACTCTAGCAGCAATGAAGCAACCTGTCATTGACGTTTTTTGGGCAGGGCTAGTACGACAGAAATAGGTTACATTTCAAGTCTTGGAAACTTTAAGCCTCGCTCACATAACCAGCAGTAGGAACATAATTATTCATTATAGAGACTGCAGGGTGCGGGTGCTCGTCATATATTCAGCTTAAGTGCTGTAGATGTTTCTACTCTAATCTAGTGGTTTTGGAAGTTTCAGGAAGTAAAGTTGTTCTGGTTTTCTGTGGTTTTCAAGTATACTTCTGGGCTTCTGTTATCTTTCTGATCAGGAAGATCTTGTCACGACTTTCCTGGAAAGACACAATAAAATTTACACCTTTTATATAAGCAAAAGAAGAAACGACAAACAATCTCTACACAACTCACTTCTTTATAAGATATATAGTGGTGCATTCTTCTGGTGTACTCAGTCTACTAAGCTGATTGTTGGTTCCCCACACTCTCAGTTGTCTAAACAATTTAAAGTTTACTACTGCCTTGATTTTATTCACCTCATGCCAGGCCACTTGTTAGTAGTTCTGTACTGTCCCTTGTAAAAGCATCTGACATCTCAAACTTTAAAACTGTACTGTCAAATAGCAGTTAAGATAGGGAGCCCTTCACAAAGCAAGACTATTGCTCCTAAATCACTTGCTCTTCAGTAACTCTGCTCACCCATTGATTTTTTTACAGTGTCACATTTAAAAGAAACAAGCACAAAAAGAAGGCTACTTCCTAAAAAGTTTTGAAAGTTTTACTAGCAAGATTAATTTTAGAACATGGAATATAAATGCTATCAAACCAGTGCATGGCATCAGCCCCTAATCGCTGGTAAATGAACATCTCTGCACTGGCAGCATTCTCTGACAGATCTGGCAGTGGTGACTTGCTCTGTCTCTTGCTGCAGGCAGTGTTCGGACCTGCACTCAACAAACAGACCAAACCCGATCAGTTGGGAGAACAGATTGCTTGTTTGGGAGAATGAAGAAGAARAGAGAGACAAAGTTTGTATATAATGGTGGAGGAGAGAGAAAACACAAGCTTCCGGTCCTACTTTGGCAGGATAACAAACACACATGCAGGCAGGACCATGGGCAGAGAACAGAGGCCCTACAGCTCATAGGTCCCCTCCTGTGCCACATGTGTGTGGGCTGATGTGGCTGAACTTTGTAGTTCCTGCTCATACATGAGTAAAACAACCAGGCAGAAGTGCTTGGGATTTTTCTCCTGTATAATTTAGAAAACTTCACTGCCTGTCCAAACATGAAACAATTGGAAGACTAAGAATATGGCTGATCTTCCACTGATGCAACATGCAAACAAAACTTAAAGCAGTATCAAAAAAACAAAACAAACACTTACCATAGCAAGTTGCTCCCTCAGCTGCTCAACAACTCGTTTGTGTGCTCCAGCCAAGGCAATGAAATAGAACATAACAATGCTGCAAACAACAAAGTAGCATTACATGTTTGCATCACAAAGCACTGAATGATTCAGAAAAGGGCTGTTATGGGTGAGAGGAATTGTCATTTCAGCCATTCACTTCAGATAGAAGCTACAATGGAGGGAAGCAACAAACAGCTGGGAAGACAGGACATAGCTCTGACTGAAGGCAACTCCTGAGACACACGCTGTCAGCAGAGGGATGGAGTGCTTGAGGATGCCGAGGCAGGACATCCTGCAGAYGTTACAATGCTTATTGTGGTTTGAGTTTACAGTGAACAGCTACAGAGTAAAACTGCACCAACTCCTTATTGCATGTATTTTTAATGTCATCGGTGACCCAGAATATCAACCACAATACATGAAGAGCAGTAGCAAGAACTAGAGTGTCACAAATACCATTGTAATTCTCTCTCTTTCCCCATTCCCTCACTTCTCTTTCAAATGATAAGAATTAGGGTAGCAGTTCAACTTCTGCTCCATCTATCACAAGGGCTTTACAATAAACTATTAGAAAGAACCTATGGACTCCGAGTTTAACCTCACTTTCACCACAAATATAACGACCCACCACCAAGCAAATAGAGGACTTGACATTTCCTGTTTACACAGTGACAGTTCAGGAGAACACATAAGCACGTGTCCAGGAAGAAAGGGGGGGTGGAATCTGAAATAAATCACACAATTTCTCAAGTGCAGAATTTACAGAAAGTCTCATGTAACAAACCTCTATGATCTGAAAACAGGCAGGTTGCACTGAAACAAAAAAATCTATACCCAAGATCAAAGACAACTGAGGGACATGGAACATCTAGGAGGCAAGGGAATAAAACTAAGGAATGTCATCAACAAAGACATAAGAAATGAGGCTTGCTATGGGCTGTGAAGCCTCTGACAGATGACAGTAAGAATGGTCTAATATTTGTTTGGTACCAGTTCAGTAAGGAAGGAAATGAACCACACAGCTGCACAACTAAATGAGGTGTCCAGAGTACTTACCAGACAACAATAAAAAAAGGCACTGCAAAGGCTTCTGATGCTATACCATAAAGGACTTTCTGCAAATCAGTTGGAAACCCAAGTATGGTATCTGGAACTACTGCCCATGAAGTGTTAAAATTCCTGAATGGCCCACACGCCTTAGAGGAAGGGATACTGGAAGAGAACAGAACAGGAAAGAGATGCTGCACCAAAATGTAAAGACAAAATAATCCAAAACAATTCCTACATTCTTTTCTTCATTGTATAGAATCAAATATTCCTTTAAAGGTTATTTTGATGTCTATAGGCCAAGTAATAATATGATTTAATAAACACAAATATATTTTATTCTAATTTATCAACGTCAAGTGGCACGTCTGCTTTTATGGAACTAGCAACCTTAGCGATGAGTTACAGCAAATGAGAAGTTCATAAAGCTTAAATTGTCACTTACTATGCTATGCTGACKCCCACAGGGACAAAAGCCAAGATTAGCCCAATCAACAGCACCACCAGGAAGAAAAAATTGGAGCTTGATGCTCTGAAAGGCCTAGCTGAAGGCTTACGTGTGTGAATCAAACTAATCTGCAGAAGGAAAGAGAGCAAGAGTAAATAAATACGTAAACATCTAAATCTACCTAAATAAATAAGTCCAGTTACATCTTYCCCACTATCTAAATTCTCCATTCTCAAGCATGCTGCCAACTACCACCAGATAAACTTCCTTTGATGTACATAGACCGAAAAGGGCTAAGGCAGAAATACTTCAGATTTTGGTAGCTCTCAACACATCCTATTTCAGGTGAAGGGTTTGCTCCAGAGGGTCTCATACACTTGCACGAAGTCAACAGACATCAGTCATGTGGTGCACGATCCAGGTGACAACCTTTAGTTTTGAGTAACCAACAAGAAGATGTGCAAACACATTAGGATGAATTTGCTGCACAGAAGGAACTCTCTGGTCATAAAACAAGTCTTCCAATATGAAAAACAAAACAGTTCTTAAAACTTTCAATTCACCTTGGGTATTCTCTTTTGTTTAGGACTTTTTTTTAAAAAAAAAAAAAAGTTTTATTTGTCAGAATCATGTCCAAGTTTCAAGCTCTGTTGCTAGTAAACAGACCATTGCAAAAAATGTTATACTATATTTTTTTTACAGAGCTAGATGAGTAACTGATTTAGTAGACATTAAAAACAGTTTTTCTTGACCACTTCAAAACAAACCTCTACTTTTTAAAAAAAAAAAAGAAAAAAAAAAGAAAAAAGAAAAAAAAGCCAATCAAAATTCCATTACACTGCATCCTTGGGTTTTTGTTTTCTTTAAAAGTTAACTTTACTTAACAAAAATCACAGAGGTGCACTTAATTGTCTTCATTTACTACACACCTACCTTACCTTTTTAATATAAAAGACAATAAAGTATTTTATGGTTGCTATTGCTGGAAGAAGTGGTGAATAAAAGGTTCCAATCCAGCAGATAGTCTGTCCATAAATGATTTCCAGGACGTTATCAGAAATTCCAAATTCCTGCAAACCGCACCACTGAACTAGCTTACAGGAGCAGTGAGTAACTAACAACCTGAAACAGAGAACATCAAGAGTTCAAGAGTAAAGTTATTCAGTTTATCTGAATCCTATCATATTTGAAATATATCTTCATAAAGAAGATCAACATTAAAGCATTCGGTAATGCAACAGAGAAATGCCCAAAGAAACAAAGATTCAYATATCATAAACCACACAGCTATTTGACTAGCAAACACAAATAATCAAATCACCAAAAGTATGATTCCATTTTATTTTAAAACTGGAAATCTGGTTAGAAATATGGGAAATAAACAATGAAAAGATGAAAGTGGTGTTTTATAAGTCACTCTACAAAAGCATACTCAAARGGTCGTGATACTCACTTTCTAGGAAAGTCTACAAACAGAGTCACAGCCAAAATTATAATAAAATCAAATATTAACAATTTATACATTTCTTGCCCAACTTCAGATTCCCAACACTATAAAAATAAGACAGGAAAAACAGAATTAGAAGTCTAAAAAATAATAATAATAATAATAATAATAAAAAAAGGAAATGAAATTGTCAGTCACTGAAACAACAAACTTCTAAACGTACTAACAGCATAAAGTTCAAATCCTATTAACTCCCATTTCTAAAATGTTTTAACTGTTCTAGAGTTCCCAAGCTTTTTGTTTTATTTTTAAAGAGGAATGTTCTTTGTCTCACTAGTGTAAAATGCTTTAAAGYAAGTGGTGTCAAAACATAGTCAATTCAAATAACCTATCACTGGACCAATACCCATCAGAGTTTTCAGCTAAAGGAAAGGTATATGATATATATACACAAGGAGTTTACTAGCTTATATCAAGCAGTAAGAATCAGTATAAGGCATGACATGAACGGCAACCTCAGATTTGATTCTGAATATCCACAGGCAATCAAATCACATGGAAAAATCTCCAATCACAAGCTCAGATGATTAAAGACCAAGATAAATCTACTTACAGGATAGAGTTCATAATTGTACCCACAAGCATTACACTTGTCAGTGGCACAGCTGGAGATATGACTCCACAGCGAGAACAGGAGAACCCCGATATTGGCCAGACGCACAAAGACACACCTGAAAGAAGAGCAAAATCCCATTCCAAGCCTGTCAAAAAAGAGTCATTCTAGCACCTGGTTCAACTTACATAGGCATCCAAGGAAGCTGCATGGGGCTCTAAATGTAGAGGTGTTACATAAAGCTTTAACAGAATGATCAGCTGGAAAACAAACATCTTTCTTTAGTAATATATCCAGCTGCTTTTCACCTTCCCTTCTTTATGCTATGGTCCATTGCTTCTTTTCTCACTAGTGTTCCTAGATCATTTCAGTTGCTGACCTCAAACAGGAAACAGGTTGCTATTCACTGAAGTTCTACTTTAGCAGCCAGGTAAGAGTTTTTTTGTGTTTAGCACTTCCTCTTAGGAGGCTTCAACATCTTCAGGGGCATTTAGCCAAACATGAAATAYTAAGCACAGGGCCTTCACAAAGCTCAGACGTCTCAGCCTTAATCTTACCACTTTTTTTCTACCAAATTCCAATTTTAATTTCCTTACAGAACCTTGAAGTATCTTTCACCCTGAAGCTTTTAACTTTGGCCTTGGGCAACGTAATGCTTCAGTGTCTGCTCTGCAGCATTACACTACGAGTGATGTTGATTGCCGTGAACTCATGTTTTTTTTTTCCTCCAAGGAAAGGCTGCACACAAAATAGCATGAGCCTATAGCTCTGCAGGCAGGACTTCCCTACTTATTATTCCGGCTACAGAAGATACCCAGCTCACAGTGCTAGAAGAGACTGGGAGGAAAACCTGCAAACTGAAATGACTGCACTGCAATCAAAATAAGAGATCCAGATTTAAAATTAAAATTTCCAACTAAACATAAAAAACAGTGTCTTCTTGTCTTCCAGGGCTCAGGCCATCTGTTCCAGGGAATCAAACCTATCTGCTTCTCGACATCAGAATTTTTACAATACTTCTACCAGGAAAAAGCTATCAGAATGTCCAAGGTGACACTAAGAAAATGCTTACCTCAGCAGTGTCAGCCTGATTTCAAAGGCTGGTGAATAATCTTCAAGTCTGATTAAAATTGAGAAGATCTGAGGAGCAATGAAGTTGGCCAATGTGATCACGATGGAAGGCAAATACTGTACCAAGAGATTAGCTTCGAACTTTATATTGTTGCCATTCTGTGCAAAAAGAGATAAGAGAAAGATAACCTCACACAAACACACGTTTCTGACATTATTCTCTCCAGTTACCTGGATGTCATCCCTGTACACAGGTAACATCTTTGACTTCAGTCTTGACACCTGTTTGAAGCAACAAGCCTGCTCACTACTGTCTCTGAAGTCTTTACTTTCTCCTTGTACCTTCACCAGTAACTACATCCCTTCTCTGCTGTTCCCTTCATCCCTTCCCTACATCCCTTCAGTGTTCCCCCGCAAAGCTTCTGTTTGTCAAAGCTCATTCCTTYTCTCAAGGCATGTGTCAGACACATTCAGACATGTCTCCAGTCACTCCCTCTGTCCCCTGTGGGTCCTCTCACCTTCCTATCACCTTAAGAAGTTCCTCTACACACTCACTTCAGCAAGGCCAAGATACAAWCTTCCAAAGCTCTTCTCCAAGTTGTTCAGTAATGCTCTGCTCTATCCTCATTCACCTCTGACACAAACATCTCCTTATTTCCTATTCCCTGCTTCTCTCTCTGCAATCCTAGCACTTCACAGAAGTTGAGTTAGGTCCACAGAGAGCACATTTTCCCCAGACAGAGAGACTGCCCACCACATGAGCAACACAGAGGGAAAAAAGTGCAAACTCAATTTATATCAGGTTAATTCAATTCTATGGGTCCTCTAGAGTCATAATTACTGATATTTCACACAGCAGGCTGCTGATTGTTTCTGAACCACTCTTCCCAACAGTTTGGCCTGCTAAGGGTAAGCAACGCGCCCTAAGCACATTCTCTTCACTAATGATGCAAGAACCTTTTCTTCTGCAAAGTGCTGTCTGCTTAAAGTCTTCCTGTTTCCCCATGCAACAGCAACTGAAGCCACAATACTGATCATAATCTTTACTAGTCCCTCTCCTTGTTCTTCTTTTTTTGCAGTTGAACAGCAAACCAAATCAATGAATTGATCATGAAGAAGCCTATGTTAATCCAGATAAGTTCCACGGGCTAGTTTACTGGGCAGACAATAGCATTTCTATGAARAGGTGTGAGCAGTTTCAAGGGGCGATGCATGAGGGCTGTTTTTCTTGGCAGTTGCACTAGCTCCAAAACATGACACTACAGTCTCTGTTTCAAAGGGAGATATCACTGCTCTTTCTAGTACACRCTTCTTAATCCTTCTCACTCCCTCCTGCTAAACCAATTCTGCCTCTACAGAAAGTGCTTTCAGATCTCTTGCAAAGAAGGTGCTATATTAAGATACTTGACTCTTTTGCAATAGTTCCTCTTGCTCTGGTTACGAGTCCCCTATTTCAGTCTGCCCTAATGTCATGTCTGATACTTACACTGGAGCTATTTTCTTGAGAAAAGGCAGTTGCTCTATAAATAGAGTAAAAACATCCTGATAAAACTGCGAGGACAATTATATTTAGAAATAGTCTCAGAGAGTAGATGCGCAGCTTGTCTTTCATCGTCCTGTTGGCTATTTTTTGCTTCAGTCTTTCTTCTTCCAAATCTGTCTATAAATGAAAGAAGACAAAAATAAAGGTGCAGTTTTCCAATGCAGCATGAAATCTGTGTCTCCTACCTCCAGGAGGTACAACCTACAGCCTGCTCCAGGACAGAGCCTACCCAGGCTCTAACGTGACAGTGCCTTTCCATTGACTTACAGTCTGTGTTTGGTCCCCAGTTGCTGATCTCAGTCTCAGCAGCCTGGGAGCCCTTTAACTGAAAACAATTGTCTGGTAGTTCTCTTATCTTTACTATACCAGTTACATACCTCCTCGAGAACAGGTAGACAACTTCCCTGGCTATAATGAGAGACTGATCTCTGGCAGCTTAATTCTAACATGCAAGACAGGTAAATTAGCTCATTCTCATCTTCATACTTCTACAGGTAGGTAAAYAGCCCCCAGCCCTACAACTCAAGTTTGTTCCTTTTGTGAAGGGAAAGAGGATGCAGATGGCACAGAAAAAAGCACACCTTTGAGCAGCTGCTCAGCAGATTTGCTATGTTTCATCTTGGCTGATGCAAAAATGTAATAACTGCCTTTGAGGGCAACAATCCAGCAACTCAAGCTCAATCTCATTAACCTGGATATTTTCTGTTATCATATTTCTATCAAGTAGTATTATGGGGTAGATTTTTCTAAAAGGGGTTATATAGGTAGAAAAAAAATGGGTACAAATTGAAACACAGGAAATTCCATCTCCAGGTGAGGAGGAACTTCTTTCCTATGAGGGTGACAGAGCCCTGGAACAGGCTGCCCAGGGAGTCTCCTTCTCTAGAAATCTTCCAAACCTGCCCGGATGTCACTCTGTGCCACGTGCTCTGGGTGTCCCTGCTGGAACACGGGGTTGGACTAGATCTCCAGAGGTCCCTTCCAACCTCAACCATTCTGTGATTCTGTGTGATTCTGTGTAAGAGCATAGTAAGTGAAGGAGTCTTTGGCTACATAGTAAAAGCTGATTGTGAACTTTACTAGAATGGAAAACAATTCACTATAATTTATGAAACCAATTGTTATTGCTTTGTGGTTTGAAATAGAAACATTGTGACTGGAAAGTATCTCTTCAAAAGTTATTGTTTCACTACACAAATCTGTTTTCAGTGTATAGGAAGAGGGTAAACAAGGCATTGCTTTTACCAGAAAGGCCTTTCAGATTCTCTGACTGCTTTATGGTTTTGGACACATAGTAGCTGCATTTGTGTTTTCATATATATATATATATATATTTTTATATATATATACACACACACACACATACATCATAAAGACACTTAGTAAAGAAATTACAGTACCTTTTTTAACCAGTGACAGTGCTCTCAATGTATGGAAAGAATCACTTGCCTTTTATTTCTCCCTAAACAACTGCTTACAATATTGCAGACTTCAAACCCAGCATACGCAAACTAACTCCCAATAGTACCAGGGTTTTGTCCACAGCTGGAAATGCTTTTCCTGATAGATTACGTAGGAACTAACACAGGAAGCATAACTGGCATGTGAAAAAGAGGCAGATAAGCCCTTTATGCGTTTGGCTTCAGTCCCTGGTGGATGGGAGGAGGGCCAATCCTTCTCCTTTTGCACCACAATTCTTGCTATTCAGAAAGYAAGGGGATGTGGGTTCCCCACTCGCCTTGACTATATTCTCTTCTAATCTTTCTTATCCCCAGTCCATGAAAGGAAAACATTAAAGTTATACTCACCTTGAGCTCATATTGCAAGCTGCRATGTTTTAGTCGTGCTGCACTTAGATCTGTAATGCAGAAGTCCCAGCCTGCAAACACTTTGTTACAGTAACTCTGAAACTGATCTTCAGCATGCACCAAGTTCTGTTTAAATCCTTCCACAGACCTAGAAAAAAAAAGATGCAGCTTTACCTAAAAAGAAGCATTTTATCCACAGAACAAACAAAAAACAATACACTTCAAGAAACCAAGCTCAAAGGCTAAGTGACAAAGCAGGAAATAAGCGACCAGCCATATCTGCTTTGTATCAGCAAGACGCTAGGAACCTTTGGTGTGAGTTTCTGCAGCAAAAGCAACTGAATCCAAATTGATCTGAATTACTTCCCTCTGCGCTTGCCCACACTCACACATTCTCTCCTCATCCAATGCTTTTCTGACATGGCAAAGAACTGGCTCAGGAAACTGAACTGGAAAACTATTGTATTTCTTTTTGGTTCATTTGTTTTAAATAGCTTATATCTTTGAATAAACAGGTTTTTTGTTGGCTCAGCACCCCAGGAGCCAGACAAAGGTGACTGTGGTGCTGCATCTTCAAAAACTTAACTGAATTCATGCTTTCTATACAAAACAGTTCTGGGTTCCCTACAGGGCAGAATGCAATGTAAACTCTGCAACAGGTAGCAGTAAAGAAAATACATTAATATTCTTACCTTTTTATTATCCAGAKGAGACTTAATCCAAGGTAAGCAAATGTAGTCAGTAGGTATGCTAGTGGTAAGTTGTACCTAAACGTACTGATCCATGCAGAATCTATTGTGTAATAACCATAAAACAAACTTGTCACTTCCAGGAATCCCTGTCAGGAAAAAAAAAAGTTTAAATAAAATTTTTAACAAAAGCAAGAACTAATCAGTTAAACTAATAYAGACATCGTGTGCTTAAATCCTCCCCCTCCCTGGACAAAGAGCCCTGGACAAGAACACCAAGAGCCTACACAGGGAGCACAGTAAGAAGCACGCTCCAGAAAACATTTAGCAGCTGGGGAAGAGCAGTGTATGACAAACTGGCCTCAATATCCTCTCAGAAAAAGTTAGTGTAGAAACTTATCTTCCCAGTGATACTTTACCGTTTTATCCCACTTTTGAAAATTCTCAAAACATCATTTCACACTTTACATATGATATGTGACTTAGAAACTTAAAAACAATATCTGATCACTTACAGTGCCAGWGAGCAAATCTTTGAGGTATGTGTAGAAGTAAACAAGGCCTTTATTACCACTAGGTGAATAAACAGTGCAGTGAGGCTCTGCCAAGAAAGACGGGAGAAGTCAGTAGAACAGCAACGCCCATTAAACTGTGAGATGAACTGAGTTCAAATGCACAAGTACTTTCAAAGCAAACACCTTGCTTTTGGGGAGCCTGCGGGGAGGACTGGAATCTTACCAACAAGAAGAGAACATGGAGAAGACTGTTACCTATGCCACTTGCAGGAATTTTGGCAAAACTACTGTTGAAAATTCCATATTTAGAGATGACACTGGGAAGGGTAACAAAGCTGAACATCAGGATAAATATCACAAAATTCAGCAGGACTAGAAAACGCAGAAAGGAAAAGTAGGACTGGATGCCAGTACCAAATTTCCCTGGGAATAAAAAAAGAAAACCATGAGAGTTACTTATAAAGATGTATTAAAGAAATATATATATATGTCTAATATATATTACATATATTATGCATATTATATATATATATTTTAAAAAAGGAGCAGGTCATGATTTCAGTTACACTGAACTAGGAATAAATATTACTGTCACTAGTTGCAAGTATTCTGCATTCATAGCAATATAACCTAAATGGAAACATAACTTTATCTTTTCATTCAACATATTTCTGTCTACTCCTTCATGAATTTTCTTATCAGTAGTAATAAGGAAAACAGGCAATTTCCCAGATTCATAAAGTAACATCTGAACCTATGCACACATATGTAAAACCACACACTATCAATAACAGAATTAGCTTGAAATAGCAACCACCATGGCAAGACCAATACCTTCAATGCTGTGAATATCATGTCGCCAAAGCTCCAGGTAAGAAAACAGGTCCTTGGCTTCATCGAGGACTTTTCTCCATGATTTATGGCTAGTTCTCTTCCACTGATTCCATCCAGATAAAGATTTTATATTAGCTTCCTGAGAGTCCCTAAGAAACAAAAAATATAACCACTAAGCAGAACTACTTTCTCCACTGCACGTAACTGCACAAGAAGGTGGGAAGACACATGCCTCTTGTCCCCATCTTTTCCTCTTGTCAACTGTAACATCATGTTAATGCAATCATAACAAGTGCTGTCATGGAGAGAAAAAATAAAGAAATCCAACTGCACAGTGAAAAGTCCAATGTGTTGTGAAAAAAAAATATATATATATATAAACACACATATGGCACTATAAAGACAATTACACATCCCAATTGAATTTAATCATTTTACCTTTACATTACATCTTGCAATTCTTAAAAATAAATATATATATATCACACTTTGAAAACGTACCTACAAGAAGGTCACACAAAAGTAGAAGACGAAGGTTCCAATTTTGCAAATACTCTGTACACAAAGCTACTTAAGTGCGTGACTCTGATTTCCTTGTGTGCAGCATCAGGAGAACAGCAAATGCCAAGTGTGCTGTCTTGACAGCATCCCTAATCTACTCAGGTGAAGGTTTTGTTTGTTTGTTTGTTTTAAAAAGTTATTTTGTCAGGAAACTGAATTAAACCAATTTGCCACAAGCCAAGAGGCTGCAGATGACCTCAGCGCTGGGTGCCAACACAGCTATTGTCAAAAGACTCCAGTGCGTGGGAACCGCAGGCCCCAGCACGCAGCGCGGAACCGGCCGGCCTGTGTTCGCTCCGTGTTTCACACGCAGCGTGGGCCGCGCGTCCCCCGCACTGCACGTGATCCGGGTCTGCTTCTCAGAGCACTTTTTATTGGGTGTTTTGCATTGGCAGCTGCTGCCCTGACCCTGTCAGGGCCGGAGGGGCAAGAGCTGCAACTTCTGGCTTCCCTATATCCTCCATCAAACACAGCACTAGCCTTCGAGGGCTTCCCATGGCCCAGGTCTTTTGCGAGTTCTCCCCGTAGACCGTGSTATTAAACTGCTCCAAGGCAGGTAATCAGGGAGCAGGCTCCCGGGTCCCCAGCGTGTTCCCAGCGCGAGCTCCTGCCCTGCCCGGAGGGCACTGCAACTTTGCCTCTGCCGGGTCTAAGCCGGGAAGCGCCTGGTTTAAGGGTCCTGCTGTTCTCCCGGMGTTGCTGGGGCACGTGAAACACCCCGGCCATGGACGTGGTCCCTGCACAACAACGGGTGCCCTGCACAGGCAGGTTGGCAGCACAAAGAGGAAGCAGAGAGAGACATCAAGCGACCTCAAAAACCCATTTCCGTGCGGAGACGTGCCGCAGAACGCACAGAGCTTCTGCACCTCGGGGGCATTTAGGAGAGGGGGAAAGGGGCGGGAAGAAGAGCCCRGCGGCAGCCGCCCCGGGGCAGGAAGGGGTGCCGCTCGCGAGCAGCGGGGCTTCTCGCGCCTCACCTGAGCCGCCGCTTCTCGGCGAGGGGCCGCGGCAGCTCTCGCAGCGGCAGCGCGGCGGGCTCGTGGCACGGCGGCTCGGCGGGCGCCGCGGCGCGGGGGGACCCTGCGGGGACAGCGCGTCAGCGGGGACGGGGCAGCAGGGCTGGGGACAGCAGGGCTGGCACCTGGGGCAGTCACAGTGCCTGGCGCAGGGGCAACAGGGACAGCACCAGGGCCTGGGGACACAGGGACGGGGCCACGGTTGGGGCAGCAAGGAGGACACCAGGGCCTCGGGACAGCAGGGACGGCGCCAGGACTGGGAGGGACAGTGGCCAGGCCAGGGGCAGCAGGGATGGCACCAGGGACAGAGGGACAGGGCCGGGGACAGCAGGGATGGCACCAGGGACAGAGGGACAGGGCCGAGGACAGCAGGGATGGCACCAGGGACAGGGGGACAGGGCCGGGGGCAGCAGGGATGGCACCAGGGACAGAGGGACAGGGCCGGGGACAGCAGGGATGGCACCAGGGACAGGGCCGGGGGCAGCAGGGATGGCACCAGGGACAGAGGGACAG